GACAAAGCCCTAAAGCCCATAAAACTACAATTCCTATAAACCCCAAAAACACAAACCCTATAAATCCTATACAACCCCCCAAAAAACCCAAAGCACTACAGTTAGCAGTTATATGTTGCAGAGTCCTTGCCCAGGAACTAAACTCTAGACACCCTATGAACCCGATTCTAAACCCAACAAAACCCAAAACCCGAAACCCTGACCCCTAAACCCGAAACCCCAAACCCTAAACCCGAAACCCGATAGTGAAAACCTTGCGGAGTCCTGGCCCAGGAACTTTCGTGGCCGAGCCGTGCAGCCGGTGACGGATGCCATGCGCGACGAGCTGCAGAAGCTCCTGGGACTTTAAGGGTTTAAGTAGGGTTGAGGGTTTAGGGTTTGGGGTTTAGGGGTTTAGGGGTTTAGGGGTTTAGGGGTTTAGGGGTTTAGGGGTTTGGGGGTTTGGGGGTTTAGGGGTTTAGGGGTTTAGGGGTTTAGGGGTTTAGGATCCTTTTTGAGCCAGGGTACTCAGCAACTAGGTATAAGCTTTAGAGAAGCAAGTGTACGGAGCTCTGAGCCCTCAACCCTAAACCCTAAACCCTAAACCCTAAACCCTAAACCCTAAACCCTAAACCCTAAACCCTAAACCCTAAACCCTAAACCCTAAACCCTAAACAGGGATAGTCCAGAGGGGGGTGTAGTAGGGAAACCATGAAACAGGTACTGGTTCAGAACGCGGGGCGCCGAAGACATCACGGTCTATCGGCAGAGCGGCGTCGTGGCAGATGAGGAGACGGGCGCTGAGGGTGATTGGGGGTTTAGGGTTTAGGATTTAGGGTTTAGGGTTTAGGGTTCAGGGGGTTAAGCAAAATCCGCCCCACGGCTCGGTGACATGTGTCTTAGTCTTTGCAGGACTGCCTTTGCACGGCTGCCTGCTCTCCGAAGAAGTCCCGACGGCTGCGGCGGATCTCTGCCTAGCGCTCGCTCTCGCTCTCGCTCTCTCTCTCTCTCTCTCTCGCTGTCTCTCTCTCTCTCTCTCTCTCCCTCTCTCTCCCTCTGTACATGTACATACATCCTGCTCTGTTCCTGCTCTGTTTATGTATGGGGTTTACGGCTCATAAGCTTGATAGGGCTGGCGTGGATATACCTGGAAATCCTAACCCGAAGCCCTAAATCCTCATTATCATTCCATTCTTGTTGGGGTTAAGATCTTGTGTTTGAGAGCCGGGGTAAAGAAGCACCAAGAATCTTCATCCTCACATCCCAGGCTACTGCGAACACCTAGCTAAATCATTCATTTGTTATTCAAGGCGTTTGCGTGCATCAATATTACCAGGGCGTTCGAGTTTATGGCTCAGCCTTTGCCCTAGTCCCAAGCCCTAACCTTTGGTGCTCGTAGGCTTTCGGAACCCTAAACCCTGAACCCTAAACCCTAAACCCTAGATCCTAAACCCAGGGTTTAGAGTCCAGGGTTTCGGGTCTGTGGCGCCAGCACCTCTGCAGCGCTGGAGTTTCGGGGGAAAAGGAGTGCGCGGGATCTGCTGTATGGGTTTAGGGCATAGGGTGTAGGGTTTAGGGTTTAGGGGTTTAGGGGTTTAGGGGTTTAGGGGTTTATGGTTTAGGGGTTAGGGTTTAGGGTTTAGGGTTTGCTGGATCCTCCCCTTCAATCCCAAGTCCCGAAATCGCGTTCCGGGTCTTGTACTCGGCCGAGGTGGGGCAAGCCTTTAGCTTAAGTCCTGCTCGCCTTCTCTTGGAGCCAGGGTTTAGGGTTTAGGATTTAGGGTTAAGGGTTTAGGGTTTAGGGTTTAGGGGTTTAGGGTTTGGGGTTGAGATTCAGGGTTTCGGCTTTTGGGCTGTTCGGGGTTTACTGTGTTGGGGCCTTGTGTTCGGGTGCCAGAACCGACCCAGGACGGCCGGCTTTGCTCTGTATGCTTTATAAGCCTCACAGGGTTTATTATCTTGGGCTTCGGGTAGGTGCACCCTAAACCCTAACTCAACAACAGCAAGTCCAGGGCTTCTACGTTTTAGGATTCAGGGTTTAGTGCTGGCGCATATACAGTCTAAGGGTAGTTACATGGCCCCTTTCCTTCTTCAAAGGGGTTCTGAAGCACGCGCCCTTGGGTTTTCATATAAGGGGCCCCTTTTCAGGGCCCATACTAAGGGACCCGACTACCCTAAGATACAGTACTTTGTGTCTCTCCTAAGAGTCCTTAGGCCCCAAAGTACTGTGGTTGCTAAAAGGAGGGACCCCTAGAAGGGACCCGTAATCCTATTCCCCTATACAACCCCAATGTATACCTCATATGGCCCCCATATACCTAGGTATCCCCATATCAACCCTAATTAAGGTCCCTTATAAGGATCCCGCCTTCGTCCCTTGATGTAATGCCCCCTTGTGGGCGGAGCTGTTTACTGTAAAGGTGTACGTGCGAAACGCCCCTTAATCAGCCCTGTGCGCCCCTTTTACCCCATAAGCCACTCTACCAACCCAAAGGGTCCATGTACCTGTAGCCCTAAACCCTAAACCCCAAACCCTACACCCCAAACTTGGGTCTGAAAGGCACTCCTTTTACGGAGGCATTCAGACCCCAAAAGTTCTTTGTTGTAGCTACTGGTTCTTAGGAGGGGAATGAGGATGCTAGGTTCTCTAGATCATCCCTTAGAGAGTATATAAGGTACTTAATTCCTTGATTCCTGCTCAGAGCCGGTAGGTTGAAGCCTAGAACCGAAACCCCTAAACCTAAACCCCTAACCCCGATTGAGGGTATATAAGGTACTTGAATTCCCTGAGTCCATACTAAGACTTACGAAGAACCAGTTGGTTGAAGCCTAAATCACCTAAACCCTCAACCCTAAACCCTAAGCCCTAAACCCTAAACCCTAAACCCCACACCCTAAACCCTAAACCTACCCTGGAGGCCAGACGTGGCTTTCCCGGCAGCGTCCCAAACTCTCGGCTACCAGGTGGAGCAGTTCCGGCCTCCCACCTCTGTTTTCGGTTTAGGGTTTCGGGTTTAGGGTTGGGGGTTTGGGGTTTAGGGTTTACCAACTAACTAAACCTTATAAAGTTTGGGATTTACAAACTAGAGTTTATTGTAGGGTTCCACACGGGGGTAGGGTAGCCTAGAGATTGAGATTCTAGGACCAAGAGTAGGCCCTTATGCCCATTTTTTGGGCTTAGGTTCCCTTAGAAGCCCCTTATTAAGGGTCTATATAGGGTTTGTTTCAGTGACATCCGGCATTTGGTGTTTGCGTTGCTGGTGTCAAGGCCTGTTGTTGTAATTTGGTAAGTGATGGGTCGATGAGGTTTTCTTCAATTTGGAACCCTAAACCCCAAGGGTTGTTTAAAGAGCTTGGTGATCACGGACCACAGGCATTGCAGACGGTGTACAGGGTTTAAGCACCTCGAGGCAAGCATGCCAAAACTTCATACTCATAATATGAAGGGTTTAGGGTTGAGGGTTTAGGGTTTAGGGTTTAGGGTTTAGGGTTTAGGGTTTAGGGTTTAGGGTTTAGGGTTTAGGGTTAGGGTTTTGGGTTCAGGGTTTAGGGTTTAAGGTTTAGGGTTTTGGTATTTGGGTTTAGGGTTTAGGGTTTAGGTTGGGGTTTGGGGTTTAGGGTTTAGGGTCCAAAGGGCCCAACATTTTGCAGGCTAAGCCCTCATCAGCCCGTGCGAAGGTAGCAGAGAGTTTCACTGGACAGGCCTTGCTGGCCCCTGAGCACGCGGTGAAGATTTAGGGCTTTCAGGCTGTAGGTTAGGAATGCCCTAAACCCTAAACCCTAATCCCTAAACCCTAAACCTCAAACCCTAAACCCTAAACCCTAAACCCTAAACCCTTCACCTCCTTAGACTTCTGTGCATCAAGGCTCCATCCTTCGTTTCTTTGCGCCTGGCTCGAAAACATGGTCCCCCGTTCTCCCCAAGGCCTAGAGTACACCCAAACCCGGCACCATGCGACAAATTGGGTCTGCAGGGTTTAGGGTTTAGGGTTTAGGGTTTAGGGTTTAGGGTTTAGGGTTTAGGGTTTAGGGTTTAGGGTTTAGGGTTTAGGGTTTAGGGTTTAGGGCTAGAAATTTCAGCCGTCGACAGTCGCAGAAGCCAACGAGACCGAACTCCTGAGATCCCCCAAAAGCCTTCGGCAGCCCTAGGAACTCCAAAGCCGCCTGGAGCCCTTTATTTTATTATTAATAAGATTTAACAAGATTTTAAAAAAAGTTCTCTTTTACACTAAATTAAAAATTCAAATATTTTGCAATCACTAACTTTTTATGTATCTAATTCATTTTCGAGTTGTCCTTGCAAGGGTTACATTGGGTTTGCAGGGTTTACATTATTGGGGTTTATACAAGGTTCATAGGGTTTCTAGGAGCCGGAGTAGGCCCTTATTCCCTTTTTGGGCTTTAGGGTCCCTTATTAATCACCTTTAAACCAAAAAGGGCACCCTTGTTATGGGAACACTCGCCACCCTAGACCCGAAACCCTAAGCCACATGGCGTCGGCGCCGCCGAGCCTCTGAGCTGCTGCAATCAGGCCGGGCTGCGGCTTGCGGAATTTTATAGGGTTTAGGGTTTAGGGTTCAGGGTTGAGGGTTTAGGGTTTAGGGTTTAGGGTTTAGGGTTTAGGGTTTAGGGCGAGTGTTTTTTGCACTCTACTATGAAGTACTTACACAGACTACACAAGAAGTATCTACTTACTTCGGAGGTCAGCACGGTCAGGAATTTGGGAGATGGTTATGGGCTTTTAGTGTCCTCTTGTGTGGCCCTCAATGCTGTGGAGACGGCCCCTGACACTTTGCCATTACTCTCTCATGGGTTTCCCTGCTACCCCGCTCTATACTACCCCCGCCTAGGTTTCCCCCTTAAAGAACCTCAATTAGGCACTCTTGTGAACCAATGAAAACTGTACATAACCATATTTGGGCACTTAAAAGGCTTATAAGTGGGTTAAAAGTACAGTTCTAATCGGTGAATAAGTACCATGAACCTCCAAGCAAGGCAAGGCAGCGACCAAGAAGCGCCCGATGATCGTGAGGGAGCCGGACGGTTCCTTAGTTGCATTCATGTTAGGGTATAGGGTCTAGGGACTAGAGGGTTTAGGGTTTAGGCTTTAGGGTTTAGGGTTCATTCAAAGACCGTCCTTGTGGTTCTCGAACCCCCAGTTGCGGTGATTTTTCTGCCCCTAAACCCTAAACCCTAAACCCTAAATCCTAAACCCTAAACCCTAAACCCTAAACCCTAAACCCTAAACCCTGACAGCATGTTCCCCCACACGAGGCCCACCACCGGCCAAGAAGCGCAGGGCCGAGGCGCCAGAGGCGCCGGTTGACGGCCACTTGACTTTCACGCCCCTAAACCCTAGGGTTTAGGGTTTAGGGTTTAGGGTTTAGGGTTTAGGGTTTAGGGTTTAGGGTTTAGGGTTTAGGGTTTAGGGTTTAGGGTTTAGGGTTTAGGGTTTAGGGGGCTTTAACAGTCCCTACTTGGAGGTTCATGGTACTTATTGACCAATTAGAACTGTACTTATAACTGTACCTATAAACATATTAGGGCACTGAAGGGGCCTTTTGTCCTGCCCCTGAACCCTGACGCGAAAGCTGACCGCTTGTGTTCCTTGAAAACTCATGACGCTATGATTGTCTGACCTTTTGCAAAGGCCTGTCCGAGAAAGACCTGGTCAAATGCAGCAAGGCGGGGAAAATTATTCCTGTCCACGAGGGCCTCTACGCAGTGACTTGCGCTTGCTCATGGACCAGTCCTTAAAGCGGTTTCTATATAGCAGCTTTGGGGCCCAATTTTTTTGCCACATGGGCACATGGACCCTTGGGGTTATTAGTAATTATCCCTAAGCCCTAAACCCTAAATTCTATACCCTAAACCCAAAACCCTAAACCCTCCAGACCATGAGCTACTGGCTGCGGCATGCCACGGCGGCAGTGGACGCCGGTGGCTGGATGGCCATTCATGATGTCGCTGAGAAGTGCGGCCAGAGCGTGCTTACCGTCAAGGCCTGCTCCGTGCCATACCCGCCCCTTAAGAGTTGGGGTTTCCGAAATTACAGGGGTACCTTCTTGGGGTCCTTATTATGAGGGGATCCTACTATTTGGGGGGTGCTATCATAGGGGTCTCGAATTTTCGTAAGCTCCCATTCATTCCCTTATTTTGGGGGGTAAGGTTCCCTTGGCTTATCCATGCCTGAAACCTTAAACCCCAAAGGGTCCATGTACCTACATAGTAGATACTTGGGCCTTCAAGGGGTTCCTATACAGTAGCTTTAGGGGCCAAGTATATACCATGTAGGTACATGGACTCCTAGAGAACTTTTTCGCTCCCCTGCAGACGGCCGTGGCACGCGACAACAAAAACAGATTCCAGCTCTCGGAGGACGAGTTGTTCGTGCGAGCGCGCAAGGGACACTCCACCTCCAAGGCGCGCTTCTCTCACTCAGTTTAGGGTTTAGGGTTTAGGATTTAGGGTTTGGGGTTTTGGGGTTTAGGGTTTAGGGTTTCGGGTTTCGGGTTTCGGGTATAGTGAAGCTCCTCTTCAACTTCGGCACTTAGCCCTTGTTTTCGTATGGAGTCCTTCTCAACCCATCTCGCCTCCCGAAAATCGGGTTAGAATCCCTCTTGAACCCCCTCAAGCTCGCCGAAGAGCCCCCAACCCCCCCCCCCCACCCACTCCCACTAAACCCTAAACCCTACTAAACCCTAAACCCCAAACCCCAAACCCTAAACCCTAAACCCCAAACCCTAAACCCTAAACCCCAAACCCCAAACCCTAAACCCCAAACCCCAAACCCCAAACCGGAAGCCTGTGCAGCTGCACGCAGGGCAAGAAGTGCGCCGGCCCTTCCGGCAACGGGGAAGTGGAATGATCGCACACAAAGGTGCCCGGGGCCCGCGGGGGGGGGGGGGGTTTTAGGGTTTAGGGTTTGGGGTTTATGGTTTAGGGTTTAGGGTTTAGGGTTCAGGGAGAGGGGGGGGGAGGGCTCGGGTGTGTAGGGACGCCTATTCCCAAAGGGTCCATGAGCCTATAGAGCAGAGACTTGGGCCTTAAGGGTTCCTACATAGCAGCTTTGGGGCCCAAGTACATACGATATGGGCCCATGGAAATTCTAGGGTTTAGGGTTTAGGGTTTAGGGAGCTCAATGGCCTGAGGGGTTGGATGAGCACGAGGTTTTGCTTTGAAAGTTATGATTGGCGTGATCCTGTGCGAGTGCTCTCTGTAAGACCCTAAACCCTAAACCTTAAACCCTAAACCCTAAACCCTAAACCCTAAACCCTAAACCCTAAACCCTAAACCCTACACCCTAACTAAACCCTAAACCCTAAACCCTAATCAAACCCTAAACCCTAAACCCTAAAGGGACAAGAAGGGACCCCAAGTCCCCAAGTCCCCAAGAATGTCTACTCTCGATGTGTGATGCGGCTCGCTCTATTCTTGATAACTTTGATAACCACCTGGAAACTTACTGGCTCAAAACCCAACTTTTCAACTTTTGGGCTTCTTCTCAGGCAGCTTATTCTGAAAGTTTCAACTTTTATTTCCTTGGTTTTTGGGCCAGTAAGGAAAGCAACAGCATGTCATGTTGGTTGATCTTCGCCCCTAGACCTGCTCCGGAAGGAACCCTAAACTTACTGGCCCAAAACACCAAACCCCAAACCCTAACCCTTCAACCCTAAATCCCAAACCCCAAAACTGAGCCTTTTGGTGGAGTTACATAGAGGTTCGGGCTCAAGGCTTCAGGAGCTAGAGCTTGGGGGTTCAGCCTCTATAGGTTCGGAGGTTAAGGGCTCACGGCTTGAAGCCGTGCGTCCCGGTTCGAGCTTAGGGCTTAGGGCCTCAGGCCCCTGTGCACCCGAGACTCCTTCGTGGTTCTGTGACAGTGGCCTATAAACCCTGAACCCTAAACCCTAAGCCCTAAACCCGCGCCGAGGCTCTGAGCGGACTTGAGGAGCAGCGCAAAGGAAGAGCCCGGAGAAGAAACAAGATGCCGCTGCTCTGCGAAACCCAAAACCCTAAACCCTAGACCCTAGACCCTCAACCCTAAACCCTAAACCCCGAAGACCTGAGGGCAGTACAGGCCGAAAGGCTTCCGATTTGGAATGGTGCCTTCCGCATCAAGTGCTGGTGCAGGTCGGGTTGCGGCCCCTAAACCCTAAACCCTAAACCCTAAAGACTTCAGGCTTGGGCTCCCCTGCCCAGACATGAAGAACCCCGGATGCAGCTTTAAGCGCGGAGGAGAAGATGATGCAGATGGCTCTCCATGACTTCTGAGACTCAGAATGGGGGATTTACGAAATTAGGGGAGCCCCAAAATAGACCCCAAATAGTAGGATTCCCTGAACAAAAAGGACCCCAATAAGGTTATTACCCTTATTGTCGTAACACCCCCAAATCTCTGAGCAATGCCAACCAAACTTTCTGCCCCTCGTTCATCTTAGGGACCAAATGAACCCTAGCCGTGGGGTCATATACCCCATACTAGTCTAATTCCTTTGAAGGCAATATGAACCATAAACCCTTTTGGGGAGGCAATGGCTCCCGGAAGCCGAAACCACCTCTCAGCCACAGGGCCTTCGCTCTTGCTTCGGCTCGGCAGGGGGGAAGTCTTGAGCAGCTTAAATTCGGTGTCCTTAACGCTCCATACACTTCTTTGGGACTCAAGTCTGGAGCATGTCATCATGACATTCAACAGAAGACAGGAGATCAGGCAGCTGTTAAGCCTATAGTTTACGCTTAATGAAGTGTTTCTTTCTCTCTGAAGCCCCGCATTTTTTCGGGCGGGGGTGGAAGTCTCCACACCCCCCCCTGTGGTCGGCTAGAAGAAAGTCCTGCGCGCCCGCCATGCATAAGACGCCGCACAGCTACTCTGCCGGGGCGCTGCCCAAAGTCACCAAGCAGCTTGGATCTTGCAGAATTGGAGGTTTCAACAAGGACTCCTAAAAGGGCTGAGAGGATATTGGGCTCACAAGCTTAAGGGCCCCCCCTTCGCGCGCGCGCGCGCGCGCGCGCGCGCGTGCGCGTGTGGTGCTTTGGGATGTCCCTGCACCAGGGACTCCCAAGGCTCACGGCATTCCGACTTGAGGAAACCTTCCGTATTTAGACCCCAAGAACCCCCTGCAGCTTCCAAAATGCCCCCTTTGAAAAAGAAAGATCCCTCAATCACGGTAGGATGATCCTCAATCTGATTTCTAGGGAAGACTCCTGAAGTAAGGGTTTTTTGGATTCCTAAACCCAAACCCTAAACCCCACACCCCAAACCCCAGACCCATTGTTGGCAGTTCTGGGTAAGGAGCCCTTTTCCAAGTTCTCAGGAAGGGGCCGGCCTTCCGGAAAGACGGCCTCCACCAGTCGGCAAACTGGGTCATCGCACACAAAGGTGCGCACGCACGGGCGGGCGAGGGAGGGTTAAGGGGTTTATAGGGGTTTATAGGGGTGTTTAGGGGTTTTTAGGGTATTTTTAGGGGTTTTGGGGTTTAGGGCTTAGGGCTTAGGATGTAGGATCTTGGGTCTAGGGTTTAGGGTTTAGGGTTATACGGATATACGGTTATAGGGTTTAGGGTTATAGGGTGATATGGGGTGTGTAGTGTTCATGAGAGCGTAGCTGGAGGGGCTGCGGAGTCCAGGGCTGTCGTCTTAGTCAGATGTTAGGGGGCTTGCAGAGCCCAGAAATTGCTTGGAGGTGTAGGTCAGGGCTTGATATCAGCTCAAATCCAACCGAAACCTGGCACATGAACCCTGAACCATACGAACCCGAAACCCTAAAACCCACACCGGATCCATGACTGGCGTGTTTCAGGAGCATGAAAACCCCAGGCAAGAACAGGAAGACGCACCCACAACGAGGGCTCAGACCAGCTGACCTTGGCCCCCAATAAGAATACAAGGCTCAGACCAGCTGACGTTGGTTTTGATAAGAACAACACGTTTAGTTTTTTCATTTTTGTTTGTTCTTTCTCGTCTCTTTTTGTTATCTCTCTTTTTCTCTCTTCTTCTCTCTCTTCTTGTCTCTTCTCCGTCCTCTTTTCTCTTCTCTCCTCTCCTTCGAAAACTCGTTGTCTCAGCACCTTTTTTGCCCCTTGACCCGGAAGGCTTCTGGGAGGCCCCTGGACGATGGCAGGTTTTTGGGAGTTTCTTCTGGGAGACCCCTTTCCTGGAGGCCCCCCTGGGAGGCCTCAGGCGCTTGCCCAAGATTTGCGCAAGCATACAACCTCAACTTAGGCTGGGATGCCTTCCTTCACAAGACAAATCATCTTTTGTGGCAACAGGTTTTCGCCATGCACCTTGGCAATCCGGAGTCGATGAAAAAAAGCAATGATCGAGCCCTCCGGCCAAAGACGTCCCCAAGCGCGAAAACTAAGTTTTCTCCCTGGAAGCTGCTACGGTCCTTCACAAGGTCTTCGTCTGTTTATCGTCAAGCTCCGAGCATGCAGACTACAAGCCCCGAAGCATTCTGTCTTCTGTGGAGGTATGTAAAAAATCGGCTTGGCTGCTTTGGGTTTGGCTGGCTCCGGCTTGGTTCCTTTTGAGTAGTATACGGGTGATTTTGGGGGTATGTATGTACTGCGTGCTTACGAGCGCGCGATCTTGTCGAGCTGACCCATAAACCCTGAACCCTAAGCATTAGACCTTAAACCCTTCAATCCTAGTGCCTGAAGACCTGATCAGCGAAGAGGTCCTGACAGTTCACCTGCCTCCACACGCACCACCTGGCAGCTTGGGTTTGTGCTTCAGCCCCTTCAGCGCCCTGAGTGTTGCACTTGAGGTTGATGTCCGGGATTCATGCCTGAAAACCCTGAAGAGCTTGGGCGTACCTAGACGCCTCAAGCACCCATTAGGATGCCCAAGGGGCCCAAACAAAAGCTCACGAGAGTGCTTAACCTGTAACAATTGGCCAGTCGGATATAGGATTGAGGTTGCTCAAGCCCTTGACCAGCAACCGATTTTTTCCCTGCCCATACCCTAAAGCCCTAAAGTCTCAACCACACAAAATCTGACTTGGTTCCCCTTAACCCTATAAACCCTGAATCCCTTTGATTTCAACCCTCACGACCCCCCTAAACCCAATATCCGTAGCCAGCACCCCTCAAGTTCAGAAGGCCATAGAAGGCCTAAATACCCTTAGGGTTTAGGGTTTAGGGCTTAGGGCTTAGGGTTTAGGGTCTAGGGTTCAGGGTTCAGGGTTTAGGGTTTAGGATTTAGGGTTTAGGGTTTGGGCTGTAGGATTTAGGGGTTCTGGGCTTTAGAGGGGCTTTATCAGGACCTGCATGGCATCCGACAGCTCCAGTCGCCAAGGCAAGTGCCAGCCAACCCACCGGAAGCGCCGACAGAGGCACTCTCTTTGGGCGTGTCTTGTTTAGGGTTCAGGGTTTAGGGTTATACAAGTAGGGTTAAGGGTTTAGGGTTTAGGGTTTCGGGTTTTGGATGAGGGTTTCGGGGTTCAGGGCTTGGGGCTTTGAGCTTCGGGCTTTGGGATTCTGGATGGTTAGGACTCTCTTACCAGTTCTTCGCATAGAGAGGTGGGGGAAATTGCCCTACGTCCGCCCCTATAGACCTTCTTAAGGACCTATGGGTTTTTGATGCTTTTTGTTTTGAGATTTTAAGGGTTAAGGGTTTAGGTTTTAGGGGTAGGGGTGCAGGGGTTCGCGGATGTTGGGTCTTTGCGCTTAGGGCTTTAGGATGTTGTTGTTTCATTTTTTTTGCATCGTAGCTTTATGTCTAGCAGAAGGGTTTTGGAAAGTTTGTGGGGTTTCGGGGTTTGGGGTTTGGGGCTTCCAGAGTTCACTCCGCAGGTAGCCCCGTGCATGAATCCTAAGCAGGTTGCATCCCCGAACCGTAAGCGCCCTGCTGTCCCTCAGATCACATGAACGG